CCCCCCCCCCCCCCGGGACTCCTGCCTCATCCAACCCCCCCGTTTCCTGACGCCCCACCCCCAGGAACCCTGCCCCATCCACACACCCCCGCTCCCTGTCCCCTGACCGCCCCCAGATCCCCACCGCCCCATCCAACCCCTCCTCTCATTTCTGATGGCCCCCCCGGGACCCCTGCCCAATCCAACCACCCCTTCTCCCTGTCCCCTGACTGCCCCCAGAACCCCTGCCCCTGACTGCCCCTTGCTGCCCCATCCAACCCCCCCTCCTTCCTGACTTCCCCCCCCGGGACCCCTGCCCCCAATTCAACCTCCTGTTCCCGCCCCCCCGAGCCCTATCCACACCCCAGTCCCCTGACCACCACCCCGAACTCCCCTGCCCTCTATCCAACCCCCCCTGCTCCGTGCCCCCTTACCGCGCTGCCTGGAGCACTGATCGCTGGCAGCGCTACAGCCGCGCCGCCCAGCTGGAGACGGGCCACTCCACCACCATGCAGCACAGAGCACTGGGTCAGGCTGGGCTCTGCAGCTGCGCTGCCCCAGGAGCTCACAGCCCCGCCGCCCAGAGCATTGCACCGGCAGCGGAGCGAGCGAGCTGAGGCTGCAAGGGAGGGAGGACAGCAGGGGACGGGCTGGGAACTAGCTCCCAGGCCAGGAGCTCAGGGACTGGGCAGGATGTAGTTTGCCGTAGTTTGCCCACTTCTGTTCTAGTGTGTGGATCCTACACTTGGACACTGGCCTTTGAATTCTGGGGAGACTTTGAATCCTGCTACAGTCTTCCAGCTGGTCTCTTTCCACTGCACCTCTTGGGAGAGCTCAGTGCTATCATGGAAAATGGTCATTAAAGATGATTAATATTCTCTTCCTCCTCCCCAGAAGTGGGTGCTAAGGCAATCTCAAAGAGACACGTCCGTCGTGACTGGCTGATCATACCGGATTCAATTGCATTTTACATGTATGAATCTGTGAACAAAGTGTCCCCAAAAGCTGGTCAGTTCTTGGCGGAAGCTGTTCAGACTCCAGTAATCCTTGAGATCAGGTATGAAAAGGTTTCCTCTATTCCTGGGGTGGCTTATGAGGAAATGGGGAGGATTAACTACATTTCCATACAGAGAGATCTTTGGGACAACAAATGAACCACCCATCATAGAGTAAACATTATGAAACCCATATACCAAAGCATATTTCTCCGCTTCCCCCCCCCCCGCCCTTGGTCAGTCCTTCCTACTTAGACCAAGGAATGTAATCAAGTGCTTAAAGCAGAAGAAACGGAATCAGAAAATCTCTGTTCTAAGAGTGACTCTAGAACAGAGGTGGGCAAACTATGGCCCACGAGCTACATCTGGCCCGCAGGACTGTCCTGCCCGGCCCCTGAGCTCCTGGCCCGGGAGGCTAGCCCCTGGCCCCTCCTCCGCTGTCCCCCCTCCTCTGGAGCCTCAGCTGCTTGCTCCGCCACCGGCGCAATGCTCTGGGTGGCAGGGCTGTGAGCTCCTGGGGCAGCGCAGCTGCAGAGCCTGGCCTAACCCAGTGCTCTGAGATGCGTGATGGCGGCAGCAGCGGCGTGGCCTGTCTCCAGCTGGGCAGCACGGCTGTAGTGCCACCAGCCACCGGTGCTCCAGGCAGCGCGGTAAGGGGGCACAGAGCAAGGGGGGTTGGATAGAGGGCAGGGGAGTTCGGGGTGGTGGTCAGGGGGCGGGGGTGTAGATAGGGGTCGGGGGTGGAACAGGGGGTTGAATGGGGGCAGGGGTCCTGGAGGGGCAGTCAGGAAGGAGGAGGGGGGTTGGATGGGGCAGGGATTCCGGGGGGACCGTCAGGAATAAGAGGACGGGTTGGATGGGGCGGCGGGTGGCAGTCAGGGGCGGGAGTCCGGGGGCGGTCAGGGGACAGGGAGCAGGGGTGTGTGGATGGGGCAGGGGTCCCGGGGGGGCATCAGGGAACAGGGGGTGTTGGATGGGGCAGGAGTCCCGGGGGGGGGGGGGGGG